ACTACTTACTATTTTTTTTTTAATCTGTTAAATTCAAAGCAGAATCATGGTTCTTCTGGAAATGGCTTTTATATGTTCTGCTTTCTTATTTCAGCCCCAAACTGTCAAAACTGTAGTTTTGCCATTAAGAAAAGAGCTATTTTGCATTTCTGAACATAGTTTAAAAAGAAAGTGTCTTTGTAGCCTCTGCTATGTGTAAACTCACATTTTTGCTGTCCGTTTCGTTACATTGAGTTGAAAGTACACGTGAGGTCACTGGCCAAACTTTGGGACAGAGGTATGTTCACCGTGGCTTATAAAAAGCATTTTCTTTTCTGACAGAACTTCCCTGATCCTCTTCGTCACTGGAAACTGGCAATTAAATAGACAACAAGCCCGTGAGGTTTTATTGTAGACTTTTAGCTGCATGGAAAGTAAAAGACACCTAGGATTTGGGCTATGAACTCACTTTATATTTCTGCAGATTTTTTTTTCTGAATACACCCTGCACCAGTATTGTCAGAAAGAGGCTGTCGTTTGCTTACTTTTCATTCACTGTGATTTTGTGACATTTTTATTATAGATCTGCAATAGGGTGGTATTTTCAAGTCCTAGGGGTGCAGAGGCTCATACTAAAATATACTTCAGACCCTTTAGTGTCCACAATGATGGCTGAAAGCATTATTTTTCTCCTGAATACTTTTACTTTGATTTATTTTTATACTTTTTCCTAATAAAGTTTGTGAGCGGTCGTCACCGATAAGTTGCTAATACAAAGGCAGCTATAATGCTTAGATTCCTTGAGTAATATCAACTTGACTTTATTTATTTATTTATTTATTTTGGGTGTTCTGTAGCATCGACATGAAGGGTTTCTTTTCTGTTGGTAAATACTGCCAACTCTCGTTTTTGTAAGCACTGCTAAGCCAAGTACGTATTGTTGAATATGTTGCCTTATCTTTCTGTCTGAACTTGGACTTTATAGTTCTTTTTACACCAGAATGTCTTTGCCAGGTACATGATAATAGAGATGGTGCTTGGACAGGCTCTCTGGAGCAGTTGCACGCTCCAAGCATGGTTATTACCACCGCTAGATAAGGTCAGATGGAGCTTTCTCCAGGGGACTTTCCAATACCTCCAGGGATGGAGTTTCCACAACCTCCTAGGGCTGTTTTGGTGGCCCTTCCTGGACCACTCCAGCTTGTCAGCATCCCTCTTGAACCTAGTGGGTCCCAAGTTGGGACTCCCCTAAAAGAAAATAGTCATTTCCCTTTATCTGCTGGCCGTACTCTTCCCAGTGCAGCTCCATATTATAATTTGCTTAACTCGCAATGACAGCACATTGCGGCGCTGGTGGCCACCCATCTCTCAGGTTCTTGTGACAGAGCTACTAGTCATGCAGCTGGTTCCCAACCTCTACCAACACATGGGGTTTTATATGCAAGAATAGTATTCATTTGGAAAAGATAAGGCTTTATTTAGTGTTAGTTTAGCTACAACTATTGTGAAAACAGAAAGCATTAGCTGGTAAATACAATATTTGTACAAGAAGGAATGTTTTGCCTGTTTCCAAATAATCGTTGTCACCAGGCAGAAAAAAAAAGTTGAACGAACATTCTTGGCAGAACTGAGAGTGAACAAACCCTTTCCGAAGCCTGGATTCCAGCCACATCCATACACTGCCTCTGGAACAGAAGAACGAGGCAGAAGCTACGATCAGTCCCAAACTTTGAGAGAACCATAGCCAGGAAAATGAGAAGTGGCTGCTACTCTTGCTTCTCACTTTGGTGCCCTGGCCCCCATTCTATTGGGAGATTTTAAGCAGCTTTGGAAATTTCATAAATATTAAGTGAGAACCTTTGAAAGGCAGCAGTGGTTGCAGAATCATGTCACTGTTAATGCATTTTGTTGGTAAAATACTGAAAATTTTGGAGAGCATTTCTGCAGGACAGTAGAGAGATAAGAACTGAAGGACCTTCAGCACAGTAATAAGAGACATCAGATAACTGAACTTGAATTTCTTACTTTCAGTAATAGCTCATGCCTTATCAGAGGTGTATGGATGTCTGTACTTTGACTGAGATTCTGGTTTCCAGAAAGATGTGGTGACTCAAGAATAAGCCAGATTTGATGAACCGCTTCCTTGCAGACCAAACCAAGTATCCCAGGAGAAACTCTCTCTTGACCTTGACAGATCTGTCCCCTCTCTTACAAAGGATTACTTTTGATACTCAGACGTCCCCTACGTAAATGCTTGAGGACATTTTACAATCCAAAAGGAGTCTTCAAGGGATAAATCTTCCAGAAGAGGTGGCTGTGATTCAGGAAGCTTAGTAACATTCTGTTACTGCATGATTTGATGTAATTACCTTAGTTTAAAACCTAAAACTGCAGTGCAACAGTTTTTTGTTTTATATTGGAGATGCGCTTTGGCCTAGTACGTGAGTTGTCTCCAGAGCCTGGTTATTCAGCCTTGCAGCGTGGACCTTGGGCTCTTGCAGAGTAACTCACTGGTATGCAGGGACTGGAAACTGGAGAGTTGGGATTCCCGAGATCCCAAACTCGGAAGTTTGCCTTGATACCGGCTGCTCTCAGGTCCCAGCTACCGAATCCCTGGGCGCCCGCAGGCGGGAACGTCCTGAGCAGAGAGGTGACCGCGGATGAACGGAGCGCGGTGGCATTTGCAGAGCACGACATTGTACAAAAGCTGGTTACACAGTTTTAACTACAAATATTTTAGCTATTACAGTGTTGTAAACACCTACTGGTGTTATTAGCTTAATATTTGTTTTAAAGCCTTGCAGGCTAGACAATGAAGAAAAAAATATATTGATTTGATATACTGACCTACATGTATATATAGTAAAGTGACCTATAAAGTAGGTCAGATGATGATTTTTTTATGGACTGCCCAAACTGAATACTTTGTCTTCTGTTTCAAGCATGCATGCTTATCTCAGGTGGTTCTGCTAAGTCAGTTGAATATATATTGAGGGCCATCTAGGTGATAATTTGTTAGATTTTGTCTTCTGTGCTTTTTTCTGGCAGATGTCAGGATGTGTAATATTTTCTTGAAACCGAAAATACCGATATAACATTTTACTGTACTGATATAACTATTTTGACAGACACTGTTTGCTACTAGAAGGAGGATTTTGGAAGAGTTTTGTATATAACCTTGAAAAGTTCATGCTTTGAGGCAAAAGTTGTGGTGACCTTGCATAGATACTTGTGCCCAAGAGGAAACACAAGTGAAATTATTGCAGTATATGAGGTTTAAGAGTTGGCGAAAGGCTTATGCTTTTTATGCATCAATGAAACTGGTGAGAAAATAATCATGAAAACAAAGGCTGGAAATTATAAGGAAGCTGCAAAACTCAACATAACCTAAAATAAACTTAAGGTTCAGCATAGATAATATGCTTTAAATCAGGAGCACACTGTTTGGCAAAATTAAAAGGCAAGCAAGGTTTCAGAGATTACACGTTTTATTGATGGAAATGGGCCAGAGTGCTGACTACCAATTCTATACTGCTGTCAGGGCCAAATGTGGAAAGGTGCCAGATATTTCATTCAGCTCTTCCTTATTAGCAACTCTTGTCCTGCTTCGTTCAATGAAGAACATTCAACAGCGAAGCCCTGCGGATCCAGGGAGAAGGCACAAGAAGCCGCTTGCCCCCAGTCCCTGAATTCCCACTCGGGCAGCGTTGGCCCCGCGTCCTTCTCAGGAATGAGCCAGCTCCTGCCCTGCTGCCAGCCAGGAGGGACCAACACGAGGAGGCTGCTGCCGTGTCCTGAAACGGAGAGGAGCAGGTAGTGGAGGAGCATCCGCATCAGCACCATGAGGGAACCTGGTTTTCCTGCCTGCAGGTGCATGGAAGGAGCCTCCAGCCTCCGGGCTAGCAGGGTGCAGGCAGGGAGCTGCCTTCAGCTCATACCACTTCTCTCGGGTGTAATATAAAGTGTGTTGTTAGGGGAGATTTCCAGAAAATAACAAATCCCAAAGATTCTTGCCGTGTATGTGAGCAAACATGGGAAAAAACACAATATTGCTTGAGGTAATTTTTAATTGACTTAATGTGGTAGCATTTGTCTTGATAAAGAGTCTCTGATGTTTCTGATGAAACCACTTTGTCTCATTTATTTTCGTCTGGAATACAGAAAGGATATATTTGTGTGTTAAAGAAGCTGGTTTTCCAATTTAATTTCCTCCAGAACGTTGTTCTTTGCGCTATCTTAGGATCCATGTGTAGTGTTTAATATTCTTATCTGAAAAAAATACAGAAATATCTGAAAAGATAATTCTGAAGAAAAATGAATCTCTCTTGCACTTTCAGTTGTTTGCTTAGTGTTTCCATTTTAATATTTTTCCTATTGTTTCATAAACTCTAGAGTGTAAAGTCTAATTTACCTCTCTGAGAAGGGTATGAACTTTATCTTCCTATCTTGATCAATAATGCTGCGCAGAATCATGTTCACATGCAAATATGTAGCCCCTGAATATAACCCTAAGGTCACTAAGACTGACAGTTCAAAGTTTCCTGTGTAAAACAGATGGAAATTTGTAGCACATTTTATCCCAGAAGTCTAATAGGAAAATGGAATTTTAATGTTGAGGTAACTTTACATGGTATGGGTCACCCAAAGTTAATTTCTTGGATCAGTGTTGTAGGAACCCTGATCATTAAAAAACAGATTACAATACATTTTAGAGCATTCATCAGGGGAAGATTACGTTATGATACTGTTCTCCATCCCACCTACCATGAGCATAGGGTAAGAGTGGCTCTACCCTCTCTGACCGGAGGTCTGTCTGCTTCTGTATTTTGTGTTTTATTCTGTAAACTTGCTCAGTTGTTGGTGAATCTAGATGTACTAAGTGTATAAAGCGCTCCAGCTACTCCAAGAAAGAGGGATTTGTAATAGCAGCAGTGTGTGTGAGGCATTAGATGGAGGCATCCCAGCTGAAAGAAAAAGAACATAGGAAATTTTAAGTGGTGGTGACAAACTGGTAGAGGAGCACTCCGGTTCAGTCAAAGCTGTATATTGGTCTGAGCACTGGAGAAAAAAAATAATAAAAAAGAACCATACAGAGAGGCATTTCCTTCCTCCCCTTCCAAAATTTCAGCTGGCCAAGACCCACATTGGCCGATATCTTTTGCTGGAGACTAGCAGATTTTTGGGTATAAAAGATGCTGCTGATGAAAGTGAAGCATTCATTCATCCCTGGCTATAAATGGGATCTTCATATTACATGAATCAGCAGATATTCCATCCTCTGCTAATAAGGCATATTTTTTTTTATAGTCCAGAATGTTTTGAAGGTGTTAGACATTTGTTGTAATGCTGCTATGTGTATTGAGAATACTGTCATATGGCAAATAATTTAAAAAATTCTAGTAATAAAGTGGTAGAATTACAAATGAAGGAAAATAAATAGTTTCACTAACATGATTTATATTTTAAAAAATGTTTGTGCAATTTGTTTGTCATTCCTGAAAATAATGCATAGTATTATGTGAAACGTCGTTTGTCTAATGAGGCAGACAGGTTATATCATTGCTTACGTGACATCAGTGGTTTGAAGATCTCTCTTCATTGCAGACTGATGAAAGATTTACATTGTCCCATATCAAAAAAGTGTAAATGTCTGAATACTCAAATTCAGAGATATCATCTGACAGAGAAGCATTTCAGATCTGACCAGCAACATGCTCATCAAGAAATGCTACAAGAGACTTAACTTATCTAGAGTTTTTTCCTTTTTTTTTTTTTTTTTTGGAACTTTGAGTGTAGTTCCATGTTATGAAAATAGAAAATTGGCTTTCTGAAGATTAATCTGAATTTCAGCAGCTTGCAGTTACTCCAGGCTCATCTACAAAATATTCATTCAAAATTTGATATTTCAAATTCTGCCTTTACTGTAATGGAGAGATTAATATAATAGTTCTGTATCACTGTTTATATCTTTCTTCTTTTAAGAGTGCCTGACCCTGAAGATTAGTTCCTTTCTGTGAATCTTGGAGTGTCAGTTCCTGGCCTTCCATTCCTACCTCAGAGCACAACTATCCCTGGTTTTGGTGTGGGTGTTCTTGCAAAGGGAGGCTTTGGGCACTGCTCTTGTGCTCAGGGTTCACCAAGTGCTGAAAGGCGGCATGGGAGGAATAGAAGGTTCTGGTACAACAACTAACTAACAACTAAAGAATAATCTATATTGGAACCTCAAATTTATAGGGTGAGTCGAAAGAAGTGTGCTAAGTAATGAGTATGAGGGGAGGAGAGTCACTTTGACAGGGAATTAAAGAATTTGTTCCAAGCCTAGATTGGAAACACAGAAATGGAGGTGTGTTGAGATGGCAAAATGGACAGAGGCTTAGGCAAAGGTTATGAGAAGAGCAGCCAAACCCTGGAAAATTTCAAAGGTGAATGCAAAGAATCTGAGCTAAATAGAGGCAAACAAGTGATTGCAGGAGGATGGAGAATTTATGGGATGATTTGTGAGAGTGCAATTAAGTGCCATAAATCCAGGATTTTGTAAGAGTGGCTTACAGCTTTTTGGAAACAATTCTACGGAATGAGTAGGATGCATTAGTTTTTAGTTGTGCTTGTCTCTGTACATGGGCTAGAGGGAGTTAAATACATGGCTTAGCTTAAATACATAGCTTAAAACTTGAAGTGAGCCTATAATCTTGATCACAGTGAGACAGTTTTAACTGTGATATGTGGATGTTAAACAAAATTTGAATACTCTGGGCTCAGACATATGAATAAAGTAGCATGCCTAGAGAAATTGTGGCAATTCTATATGCACATGGTAACCGGCTGTGAATGTGTTAGCTTCCAGTTGCAATGGTCTAGGAAAACACATGAATATGTAGCTCTTGAAGTGCTGTCTCTGAACTTTATATCTCACATAGTCATCTGTATTTCCTTTGACATGGCCTGACAATACCTAAATCGTATGAGTAGCTTAGTTGGTTTCTAGTAACTTTTAAAACTGAGGATATTTGTTATGGTCTTGCACCTTGTGTTTGAAACGTGATTGATAAAGCATTTTAGAATAATCGACCTGTGCAGTACTGTCAGATAAATCAGGGTAAGTTATAACGGGATAAGATATTTGCGTCTGTCTAGTGGTATTAGGTAAAAGTACAGTTGGAAGAATAAATCAAGTATTTTTCCCAGCTATAAACTGGTTTATTGTCTGCTGCCTGAGGGCCTCGGATCATTCAGCCTGTGTTTCCTACTGCTGTTTTTGTGGATAAGAGCTACTCACATGCTAAATCAAAGCTCCTGCTCTTCATAGCAGCCGGAGCATGTAGGGTATGCTATTGGTGTTGGGCCTCCTCCTAGAGTTTAGCTATATTGAAAAAGAAGTAATTCTTAAAAGTTACGCTTCTGGAACATGAAATGTATTATTTTCTTTACTACAGAATTTCTCTCTAATTTATGTTTTGAAAATGATTTCTTTATTGATTATGAAGTATTTACAAGCTTAAATAAAGTAACTGTTAATAATCTCTTTTCCTCTGCAGAAAATTACATCAGCAGTTTGAAATGTACAAGGAGCAAGTGAAGAAGATGGGTGAAGAATCACAGCAGCAGCAGGAGCAGAAGGGTGATGCCCCAACCTGTGGCATCTGCCACAAAACAAAATTTGCTGATGGCTGTGGCCATAACTGTTCATATTGCCAAACTAAATTCTGTGCACGCTGTGGAGGAAGAGTGTCTTTACGGTCGAACAAGGTATGGACTGATGAAAGTTACTAGTAACTAGTTAGGAAATAGATTTCCTTTAAAGAAGAAATTATATCTACTAAGGGTCTTTTAAGACATCTGTGTTCTTTTCAAATAATCTTCATTAAATCTCTGATTTGCAGATGGATTTGTTAATACTGCTTTTAAGTAAGCACATGCCACATTTTACTGTCACTCAAACCCGTGCAGGTACAATGCTCTCCCTGAAGGAGAGATCTCTGTATTGGAGATGCATTGGTACATATGCATATGTATTGTATGTGGCGTTCTATATATTTATATTAACATATTTTAAGGAAAGTGGGTTAAGTGTTGTTCATAAACTACTCTTAAATTTTTCATATGAAGTCTTTGAAAAAAAATGAGAAGCACTAGTAGAAATCTTAATACAATTTGTCTTCAGAGATACCATATTAAACATTCAAAAATTAGATAGATTAAGAAAGAATATAAGATTAAAGCTAGGATACTGGTGTCTGCTTTGTAACTTTGTAACCAGCAAGCTTCGATTTTAAAAAGCTGGACTATAGAATAAAAAATTCAGCAGAATGAAGGTTCAATATCTAGACCAATATATTCAACATTTTGTATTAAATGTTTACATGTGACATATGAATCTTTCTCAGATTCTGACAGATATTCATAGGATATTCATGACAATATTGCAGACTTCTAACTAGTCTTTTATGGAAACACTTGTTTTGTAAGTTAATATACTTATTTATTTATTTATTTATTTATGAAACCACTGGTCAGTATAAGTTATTTCCATAAATGAATATGTGATCAGCATAATGTGATGATTGCAAATATCATGCAATCTAAATACTATCTCAATATGCTGGTGGGTAGGAGAAAATCGCACTTTTTAAAAAAAAAATCTTAAAACTAAACTAAGGAACACAGAGAAAGCAGGCTTAAATATATGTGTCACTGATGGGCTCCAATTTTGGCTGATAGAATATAAAAGAATCTGTTTTGTAATGACTGAAGTAATGACCTGTGTAAATCTCTCAAGTTGCCTTGAACATGACAGACTATGGTTAAGAAAGTAATTTTAAAATTCATGTAGTGCCTTTTGTCTTGGGTAAGCTTACATATTACTACAACTCTTTTTATCTAGGTCATATTACCAGTAATAAGGGATATAATAATTCTTGTATTAATTTCATCTGATTATTAAATGGTTTTCAGAGCCATTATGTGTACTTACATAGAATCATAGATATGTAGCATTTGCAGGAAGGCTTCACATCGTAATGAGTTGATCACAGACATCATTTAGACTGTCCTTAGGTAGGATCTTGTCATCTGGGCAGATATTTGCCTAACCTCTTTTGGCAGATTCCCAGGGAGGTTCTTCCACATCCTCTTAGGTTGCTTCTTCCACTGCTTCACCATTCTCCATCATGACTTCCCTTTACAAAAGTCTCTCTGACTTTTCCACATTGTATTATAATTTATTCATTGCTTGCTGATTTTGTGTATATTTTGGTTGCTATAAATTTGTCCAGTTGATTGATCAGGTTCCTTAATAAATAAGTTGACATCATATTTACCATCTTCTATTCTACCAGTGAGCGACTGGATCTTACACTTAATAGGTATTTTATACTTTAGTCTTTTGAGGACTTTATGCTGAATATTAGCTGATTCTAAAATTTTATTACTCTTTTGTGATTTACTTTACAACTGTTTTTTTTTTGACGATATCCATTTGGATTGTGTCTTCTAGTTTGTTCTCCATAAAGCAGGGTTCTGGAGTCTCTCTCAGACTTACAGTGAACATGACACAAAAGCTTTAATTTAGACTCAGTCTGTGGCAGTGTCCTGTCTTCTGGTATATTTTCTGCCTCTGTACATTATTCCATGAAAATTCTTTGTGATCTTCTTTACTGTACCTTACTGTAACTTACTAGAAGTCATTCTTTTCTGTTTTCCTCATTTGGATAAGCCCCAACTTTTGGAAGGATCACTTCTTCTAACAGCCTCCTGTTCTAGCTGTCTTGGATTTCTTTGGTCTTTGTAGACTTTTTCTGGCAGGTTGTATGATCTGCTTTGGGCACAAGGTGATTTTTAAAGTATCTGTGTCTTCTCCAAGCCTTTTACTCTTTTAACTATTCCCTTTGCTAGTTTCTTCTAAAACTGAATGACTCAAAAATGTTCCTTGATGGAACTGAGTGATCTGTGTGTGATAGCTTTCATAATATCAAGTTTTCAACCAAATTCATTCCCTTTACAGCAGCTTCTGCTACTATATGCTTTAGGACAGGCCACTGTGAGCAGCATACATCTCAGAAAATGAAGAATTGCAAAGAACAGTTTTGTTTCAAATCAAACTGCTATTACTATGTATAAATTTGAGGCTGTAGTTAGTAGATCTCTTCTAGAAGTTTCAATGAATCAAAAGGCCCCAGAATAAGGACCTCTTGGTTTGAATATTCCTTGATGAGATTCTCTTCTCATCCTTTCACCCTTGACCTTTTCTTTTCCAGTCTTGTTTGTATAACATCAAGCATGAAGACTTTTATTCTTATGTGGTCTTTGACCACTGTTACAGTACAAAGAAATTAGTGCTAAGGAGAAGGGCATTGTTAAGTAAGGATAACAAGGACAAGATAAGAGTTCAGCTACAGATTTTTTTTTATTTATTTATACAAGCAACAAGCATTTGTTAGCAATTTCCAAAGCATCAGTATCCATATGGAATATCTTCCCCCTTTCATTTGTCTTGTTGAAGTGTGCCAAGTGGACTTACACTATGCTGGCAGGCACCAAAGAATTAGTCTGCCACAATCAAGATTTTTAAACTGACTAGGATTTTGGTTAAACTGAGTGAATTCCTATCACATACCAACAAGTTGATCCGTGTGAGACATAGTCTTATTCTGCATTTCCCTAGAAAAGACACAGGACATAGCAAATGATGTAAACGGTTTCTCTAAGCAACAGTTTTTTTTGTTTTTTTTTTGTTTTTTTTCAAATCAAAGCAGGTAATACATGTAAAGTCTTTATATTTACAGCTGTGTTCATCTTTCTCGGAGTATCAGTGCAGGTAGCTCAGTGAAAGTAAGGAACACCACCATTTCAAACTGATGAATTATTCTGAAGACAATCTCCTATCTAGAGGTGAACTCCTGAATTTACAGCTGGACTGTAAATGTTACCATTCTTACTGCAATGAACTTCACCTCTTAGTCTTTCCACAAAGAGAATGGGGTTGTTAATATCATAGACCTTAAAGAGTTCAATGATGAGGGATATGAAATCTTACATCAATGATGTTAATGACCACAGTGAACGCCTATGACTGTAAGACACCTCTAAACAGCTAACAGATCTAATTTATTTGAGGTGGGCAACCTCTTCATTCTTTCTAAAGTTATACCCAAACTTAGCAGTACCACGGTTCAGCTTGTTTTTGCCATTATTTTCTGAAATCTTCAATCACTTTTTAGTATGTAATTTATGAATATGTAGCTATATATTATTTTAATGATTGCCTAAGTGATACTTGGACTTTGGGACATCTTTAATATCTCAGAGAGGAGATTCCTCTATTATAATAATTTTGATGCATGAAGATTACTTTTCACTAACATAGTCTTGAGTTTTTAGGAAGTGTAAGCTGGTACGTTTGACTTGCTTATATTCTCAGTATGCATTTATTATATGTTAGATCTTCTGCATGATTATAGTCAAGTTTCGTTTTGGAAACTCTTGGTTTAAACAGAAATTAAGATTCGGCGAAATGACACACACAACAGACTAGTGTTACCACATAAATATTTCTGAGCTTTTTGTGTTAGAATATGGTAGCATAAGAGTACTTACTTAGAAACACTATTTCCGAATTTCTAAACTATTCTGTTCCCTGTAAATATAGATGTGGTACAGTCAGAATTTGTTTCTGTCTATTAAATGTTATTTCTGAGTCTGATAAATTGTATCAGTCATGAATTTTGGAATACAGATAAAACTGGTAAATAAATCCATATCAATGAAAAAGGAATTTTAAAATTTTAAATTTTAAAATACATGTAGGTATATTGTATGTAAGAGGAAGTTATTTAAATAACGGCTAATACAGGCATATTTTCTTCATGGTGAGGACTAGGACTCATAGAATAACTGGGTTGGAAAGGATTTCTGGAGATCACCAAGTCCAACCACCTGCCCAAAGCATGTGCAATTAGATCAGGTTTCTGAGGGCCTTACTCGCCAGAATTTGAAATCTCCAAGGATGGAAATTTAACAGTCTTTTTATGTAACCTCTTCCAGGGCTTGACCCCTCTCATGGTTAAAAAAAAAAAAAAAAAAAAAAAAAGTCTGGTCTGAATTTCCAGTATTCTATGTAGAGTTAACTGCTGTCTGTTGTCCTGGACATCCCTGTGTCTTTGAGAAGAATACTATATATGGCTACAAAATGAGCACATTATGGGTAGCCTGGAGTAAACATTATAAGAAATTAGCAGTTATAAAATAACACAGTTTCTAAACGGTTTCTTGAAATACTGTGGGCCTTATTCACAGTGTGTTTTGAAATTTCAGGGTAGTGATGCAGTGGAGAATATGAAAAACTGAAGGTAAATAGGTAGCTATTGAAAGAAACTAAGTTATTAAGAAGAAATGTGCCAGGAACAGACAAATCTGCTTCAAAGAATAGTCAGCCTCTGTAGGTATGACAGTAAGTTATTTGTAAAAGAGTAAAATAGTAAAGATAGCTTTGAGCTCAAAACTTGCCCTCTTAAGGAACTCGCCTCTTTGTTAAGTTTGCATAATGTTTAACCTACTTACTATTTACCTTTCTCATTTCACTATTGGTTTTACTATGCCTTAAAGATGTTGCTTAGTGCCTGTTTTGAAATGTCACCGTGTCTGTTTACCATTTTAGTGTGAACCCTACTACTTTATCTTTTTTTCAGTTTCATGTATAGAAAGTCTTTGATTTTTTAATTATGCGCTGTTTTCAGAATTAAATTTCCCCCCTTCTTTCTTCTAGGCATTTATTTAATCAAGTTCCTATGTTTTAAAATCAAACATAGTGCTCAACACGTACGTGGTTCCCTAAGTGGGAGACCTGAATTATCCTGACCTAAAGCTCTTCTTTGCTGTTACTTACCCCTTCCTGTGTGAGAGACAGTCAAAAATAAAGCTACCCGATCAGGCATTCCCCGTCTCAAAAACATCCTCGCTTCCATGCGGAAGATACTTGGGTGTGGATTATGCTCTTTTTTGTAGAATAAAGGTTATTTCTCCATAAAAGATGGAGGTATGAGTTGTTTGCATTCACAATTCCATGAGCACAACCTCCTGCCTCTCGTAGCGCAGTCATGGGGAGGCTGTTGGGGAAGGAGCCCTGAGGTAAGTGTGTCTCTGCACACAGAGTGACGGTGCTTGGAAGTGCTCAGGTGTCAGTAGCTTTCACTGATGTTTCATATCTGTGTAGCGGAGAATGCCACTAAATTGGGAGCATCTTTGAAAATATTTTGAACTTTTACTACTTTATACCATAGAATATCATAGAATAAGTTAGGTCAGAAGCTGCATCTGGAGGGTAGTCCAGCATTTGCTCCAAGCAGGATTCACTTCAAAGTTAGGCCAGTTAGATCTGAGGATCTTGGCCAGCTGAGCTGTGAAAGGATGGAGATTCCGTAACTGATTTGGGCATCCTGTCTCAGTGCTTAGCTGAACTGATTATTTATTTTCTCATATCCAGTCTAATCCCTTGTTGCATTCTGCCCCTCAGCTGGGTACCTCCAAGACAAGTCTGGCTTGGCCTTCTCTATTGCTTACTTCTAAGCAGTGGAAGATGGAAATCAGTTTCCCTCTTCTCTCCCCGTACCTTCTCCAGGCTAAAGCAGCTCAACTCTCTCAGCTCCTCCTTGTACAACATGTGCTGCAGTTCCCTGACCCTATGAGCTGCCCTCTCCTCTGTTCTCTCCTGCCCGTTACTATCTTTGAGATTGGGGGGAACCTAAAACTCTTGTAAGAGCACAAAACCTCAGAGTTATATGCCATAGGTATCTGAACAACAAGCTATAAAATAAAATCGTTGCTCCTTCTAGTAAACAAGTATTAAATGCTTAACACAGTTAAATGCTTAAGTGCACAGCTAGATTTAATTTGTATATTGGCATATGAAATTTTGGTGCTAGAAAAGATTGTTCATTTATACCTTGTTATTCATCATTCACAAAATATGGGGAATTATTTCAATTTTTTTTTCTATAAATGTTCTTCCACTTACAGTTTTAGATACCTAAAAGACAATTCCTTCAAGAAAAATAATAGTGGTAATATTTGTATTTAATAGTTATCAGTATGAAAAAGTATGAGATCATATGGATCTGACATGACATGCAATAAGCGCTTGAGAAAGTCTCTCTCTGCCTGTGCTTTAAGGATATATAATATGTTGGAAAGCTACTGAGTGAATAATATGCAGTTTTTCCTGTCCTAATGCACACCTGGTTTCTAGCTGTAGTAAATGAGTATCTTTCATCTCCCTGGACTCTGTGCAAGTGCAAAGGATTGATCCATGGCAATCGTTTGCAGTACTGGGATCCAAGGCATATAGAGCTCAGTCCTGCATCCTTTTTTTTTTTTTGTAGAAGTGCCTTGTTTCTTTTATTAAGGTAAATAGATCTTGAGTCCCAGATTATTTTTATGAAAAATATTATATCTAATCTGACATACAAAATCTTCATAATTTCACCCACAGAAAGATTAAGAAAACGATTAAAATAAAGTAGATTTCACTAGATCATTCTCATTTTTAGAGGAAGTAAGAAAGGTACATTAATTTATTTTGAAATTTGTTTATTACTAACAAATAATACTGCTTGCTTTCAAAATGAAAGTGACTCTTTCCTTCTTTGTCTTTTTTTCTGTCCTTTCTTTCTTGCTTTCGTGGATATGAACTCCAGGAGGACAAAGTGGTTAGAGCCTTTTTTCTGTCTAAAGTTCTTCTTTTCTTTTATGGGTAGACTTATTTCCTCGCCTACATTTCAAAAGTACTCCCTGCTGAAGGCAAGGAAGTTACTGTCATTAAAATGAAAGCAAAGTTGGCATGATACTTACCTGCTTTTCATGTAACATATTAACAATTTGTGAGTCGTTGTGGACATTATGCATGATATTCCTCTCTGTTTGCAAATTTTGTAAGCATGGTACTTTTCCTTTCCTTTGCAATATGATATGTGCACAGTTTTAAAAAAAGAAATAGAATACTGGCTCAAAAGTGTTTTCCTTACAAAAATACAGAGAGATTTTATCAAAGTGGCGTGAATTTTTTTAAAACAAGTTTTGTTCGCTGTGGTAGATATGTTTGTATCATCAAAACTTATGTGCTTTTCTAAAAGTGCTTTAGCATGATAGTTCTGGTTTGTTTTTTAATGGCAATAGAATTAGATATCAGTCATCATTAAGAAAGCATACATACAGGAATATACCAGGATTGTCATGGAGTTATCCATTAGTAGTTAACTTCTAAAATTACATATAGGCTTTCCAAAAATGTAGTGCACATATTGTATTGAGCATAATGTTGAAATAATGTCAAGTGATGCATGTCACTTACATTTTTTTTTGTTTATTTTGCTAATATTACACCTAAAATAGGCGATCACTTTTATTTTACCTATGTTTAGGAAAGGTAATATAAAGCTTAATATGCGAATATACCTGGATATATTTCAGTATATTTTAGTACCAAATCAAATGCGATCATGAAAAAATACAGTTGAGAAAAGTACCGGTGCTAATGTAAATCTGCTGTTCCATGAAAATCTCTAACACATTCTAAAATGAATTTCAGTCGCAAACACCAATGATGTGCCATGTAATATTTGGCAAATAACTTTGTGTATAGAGGTACTAGAAAATTCTTTGCAGTTTATACGCAGCCAGTGAATGCACTCCGAGCAAGCGGTTTTTGTGCTGGGCCATATGTGATTCTCCCACCCTGTTAGAGCATAACATAGTTGCTTTTGGCCACCTCTTTAGATTTCCCTACCATAAGGAGGTTATGAACTCACAGGATCCATGAAGTACTCCCAGTTCCTAGAATACAGAGGTAACTCTAGAGTATAAAGGATGTTTAGAGCTATTTCCTCCTCGAAGAATTTATGCTTTCAGTGTAATCTTGTAATTGATGTATGTTAGCACTGTTTCTTAGTCAATCCAATGACTAATGTCCATGAGGCAGTTGTATATGTTTTTGCAGTATCAGATCCTAAATTCATTGGAAAAAAATAGTGTAGGAAGGTAGAGTAATAAGATTATGTGAATATCTAGTTTTGTCATGTGAAAGTCCTCCCCAGGAAGGGAAGGGACAGGAATTTCTGTAACTAAGTACCTATTTATTTTTTCCATGACTAACGATTGTGTCTCAAAGTGCTGGTTTTGAAAAAGATGTTTTAGAAATTACAAAGGGAGAAAGAACAATGCATATTTTGGGTCAGAATTTTCTGGGTCAGCAGCATGTGAACATGGGACATGCAGTGTCCATTTTGCTCTTTTAGTGCTGCAAGTATGGTCGAAAACCTCCTGGGGGATTGCACTGACATACGCTCAAAACAAATATCCCAATAGAAATAGGATTTTTTTTTTCAGTTTTATGTGATAAAATGTTTACAAGTAGGTTAGACTGCTTAGAGTATCCTAAACATTACTGTAAGAGGGGGTGTGAAATTGCAGTGTTGAAGAAGCACACATGTGCTTCGTAAACACAGGTTGGCAAAGTCACTCTAAGGTGCTCTTAGTAGCTCTACGGGGATCTTACACAGATCTGTGAGCACTTAGAGAGTGGAAGGACATTTCAGTATGTCCTCTTCAGACATCTGGTCGGATTTTTTGATGCAGATTGCACAGAAAACTGGGACAGCACTTGGTGTTGAGTGTGTGGGACAGTCAGAAGCTGGTCTACGTCTGCTCTTTATGATGGTGGGGAATGGAGTTGAGGAAGAATTCTGACTCTACTGTATTAAACACATGTTGAAGAGGATTTAGGTGCTGACAGTAATGTGGGAGGAAAAGTCTCATTGTGCCTCTTCCCCCAGATGGTCAGTTATCCCAGCCATGCATTAGTCTGGTATCAGAGTGCATAAAACGATCCTTGTAAGGCTAAATCCCTTGAGATCCCTTAAGGCTAAATGAAAATAAATGTATTTCCTAAGATAAAGACTCACAAGATCGCAGTCCCTTCACTTTGATTGTGAAACTTGTGTTTATAAATAAATTACTTTTTAAAAATGAGCAACATCATTAACTTTAATACTGTAAATGTAAGGCTATGTAGTTGAAAATCATGGAAGATCGGAATCAAAAGATGAGTAATTAAGTGAAATGAAGGTTGTGTAAAATGTGTCTGCACTGAAAATATTAGAAAATGAAGAAATACTAGAAATTACAATTTTGCCTCATATTTAACCTGAATTTAAGCCAAATTATGTCTTTTTTTCTTATTTTTTCTTGAAAACATTGGCTTTAAAATAATCATCAATGCTTTTGGAGAAATCAAGTAAGTAAGCATAACTGAAGAAGTTTTGGGAAACAGCTGGTAGGAGAAGACACTGTTCCTTTGGGTTTATGTTCCTTCATTTGACTGGTCACAATCTGACTTTTAGGAACTTTGATAAACCCCTATAAGTTAAGAACATTTGAAGTCTAGATAAATCAATGCATGTTTTTTAAGTGGTTGTTTTATTATTCCTTGTTTAATAGCTGTCTCAGGTACAGAGATAAAAAGACCACTGTTGTGGATCAAGTTAGGTGCAATTTTACCAAATTACATGGAAAATGCTTTTGCAACAGTTGTCGTTGTTAGATCCCTGCTGCCATACCTTGGTAATTCTGAAAGCGAGCAAAGAACGTTTTCTGGATCACAAAATGCCTATAGCTGATCAAGAAATCTGTTTTGTTCTCTTAGTTCAGAAGTTAGAATGACGTTTCTGGTTGGCTGTCTTAAAACTACCCAGCTGAAGCAAAAAGATGATATATGCGTGTATGTTTGTGAGAGGGAGATAAATGCAGAAGGTCTGTTCTTCAAAAGCTGAGAGTGCTCCTTAAAGTAGCTGTTATTCCTTTATTTTCGTGCTAGTAAGGGAAGTCCTCACTTTAATTTCCTTGTGGCCCCTTCATTCAGTGCTAGGAGGGATAATCTGATGGAGCAGTGACGATGCTGGAGCCCCATCGGATGTTCATCAAAGAACAGATCTGTGTGAATGTCACAGATTTTGACACAGAGCTGTGCCTCAATTCTTACCGCTTGTTGTCCTTTTGATGACTGTTTTTTCTGCACGATCAATTAAAGAATTGTGACATGCAATAGGCATTTCAGTGACCTGCCCTTAGCAGAGCCCTTCCTCTGCTCTTTCATCTTTTAGCAGGTTCAGGAATTTGTTCTTAGGGAATCTGTTTTAAACTGCTACAGGTAAATCAAAATCTTCAACAGAATCATTTATAACACAAGATAAACCCATGCACAGCAAAACTAGGAAACATCCCCTCTGTTCTGTCCATAGCAGATGAAACGTTTAACACTTTTCTTTTTGAAGTAGTTTTCCTCTCCCTTTTTAATGTTACACATTTTGAAATGTTTAAGACACAGACAGATAATCTTTGAAATCAGCGCTTCAACTTTCACCACTCTTAGAATCTTTTTTGATTCTTTTTAAATTCCTCTTCAGAGTCCTCTAAACAAATGAATAGTTGTAATAGTACTGAACAGTTTCCTAGGTTAGTCCCCCTATTAACTTGACTGATTTTGGAGTTTATTTACACATACAGATTTTAATAATTTTTGAGATTTCTAGACAGGCTGAATTCAGACAAGATCAGTGATTTTTAGCAAATTAATTTTAATAAAATAATTCTCTATAAAATTGTATTAAAAAGATTTTTAAAAAGCATAAGGTCTTATTCTTTCCTTCCCTCCCTTTGTTTTACGCTAGAAAAAAAATTCTGTTCCTCAATTTTCCTTCACCTTATTTCATGATAATGAATATCGTTATTCCAGTCAGGAGACACAAACTGTCGCTGAGAATGTTCTTGGCCTTTGGTGGAAACTTTGCTCGAAGTGCCGAAGAGTTTTTCCTCATTTTACTCTTCCTTCTCTGGACAAGTCCTGGGCCCTACCAAGAATCATCTCTTCTCTAAACCATCCGTGTTGCAGAGATGTGTGTGTCCTGTATGTCGCACACCTTTCTCCCATGGGATTGCTCGTGTGTGACAGCCAGTATTTGTGGTGGCATGGGTTGTTGCTGTCCTGCTATTGGAAAATACCAATTGGAAAATACCCAAATACCGGTGTGGGTAAATGCTTACCTTACTCTTCACACTGGCCTCAAACTGACCTTCCTGCCTTATCACTGATTCTCATCAAGCTTTTCATGGGCTGCATGTGCCGTAGTGGATATGGTTCTTAATATAGAAGAATGCTAAGTTCTTGATTACTGAAATTTTGAAAAAAAGACTTTTTTTTACAAAGAGGCCCGCAAAACAATAAAATATTTCATAAACTTAGAATACCCCTGGAAAAAAGGCTCCCATTCCAGCTCGTATTGGGGCTTGTTTTCTGAGACATCTCTAAGCTGCAGGAAGCTTAGTGGTTCTCCTTGGCTCTTGAGTATTGTCTTTCAGATTGGGATCTCTAGAAGTAATTCGGAGAGTTGGCAACTTAGCCCTTCGTGCCCTAGGCCACTGTTCTAGCTGCTCCCTGATCTTGTTTCTCGGGTGTCCCTTTGCCTAAGCTGCTCTCCTTTATCTTGCTGCACTCTCAAGCTCGCTCCGGTTTCCTTCGCCTGAGAGCGCGCTGCTGGTAACAGAACATGCTGTTAACAAACACAGGAGTGAGAACCCACAGCTTTGCTGTCTTCTGCTTCCTGGAACTGGACCACAAAGCAAAGCAGTCTCTCCATAAATATATTTAAATATTGGT